TTGCCACTGATAATATATGCATAGTTATAATCTATTTTTTGTTATTTTTACTGGCGAATAAATATTATAAAATGCATGACAAGGTTAAACAGATTCACAATCCGTTCCACCAATCGTACCTTAGGCTCAGAAAGGAGATTTGTCTTGGTGTAAAAACTTGTTAGATGACAATGGAGACGAAAATTATCGGAAAAAAAATAAACGAAATTATTTAATTTTAATTTGATTAACTTGGACTTGGTCATTTAGTTCTTCTAGTGTAACTTTGCTGGAGCGACTTGTAATTTTAACTTGAAATTTTCACTGTGAGAATGGAGACTAATTAGAAAGAATCATTGACCAGATACGTCTGTGGACATCTATCAAGTGTGCCAATTCTAAATTAATCACTTAATTTTCTTTCTTGTCCATTCCATTCCGACATCAGATCTATCTAGAGTGGCTACTTTAACTGTCGTGCTGTCATTTATAACTGGCTATCAGGATGGAAATGGACTCGGTCAGTATGTCCACATCAAATTGATAGAGTTGTCTGATCATTTACTCACATTCCCCGTCTTATATTGAATGATTAAGTTGAAACAATAAGATATTTCATTTAAGGATTATTCATAAAGTATCAAAGCTTAGAATGTAACAAATTTACCCAATTTTTGGGAGTTTATTTTGGGATTTTTTTTTTTTTGGGTCCCACCCGAATAGATCTGTTCCAAGATTCAAATTCAAGTTAGTTTCGTTTGAAGAAAATTCTGAACAGTTTTGTTTTTCGGTAACTGAATCTGAATAACTACCAGTTTTCAGATGAAGGATTGGTTACCGATCCGTGGTGCCAACTCCCACCATCCCCACCCACCCAATACAATGCTAGTCATGTTTTCAGATGGCAGGATTGGTTACCGATACGTGGTGCCAACTCCCACCATCCCCACCCACCCAAATACAACGCTAGTCATGTTTTCAGATGAAGGGTTTGGTTACCGATCCGTGGTGCCACCCCAACTCCCACCATCCCCACCCACCCAAATACAACGCTAGTCATGTTTTCAGATGGAAGGATTGGTTACCGATCCGTGGTGCCAACTCCCACCATCCCCACCCACCCACCCAAATACAACGCTAGTCATGTTTTCAGATGGAAGGATTGGTTACCGATCCGTGGTGCCAACTCCCACCATCCCCACCCACCAAAATACAACGCTAGTCATGTTTTCAGATGGAAGGGTTGGTTACCGATCAGTGGTGCCACCCCAACTCCCACCATCCGCACCCACCCAAATACAACGCTAGTCATGTTTTCAGATGAAAATTAGAGAATTTTATCAGACAATTAGAAATCAAAGAGATTGAAAAGAGGTTTTTAAATTTTGTTAAGTATTTCGGGGAAATTGATTGCACCATCCCAATTTCCAATCAGACGTCTACAGTTCTTGAAGTTTCTCAAAAACTAAG